ACTACCGTGTCCTCCAAGGTTTGGATACGCTCTTCTAGGCTGGGTGTCTGAATTGGAGCGTCAAGGATGACTAGGTCAGGAGAGCGATGCTCATCTTGACATCTGCTCTTGAAAATGTACTAGTGACCCTACCGGAGAGTGATATGGTGACTCCGCTGGAGACTCCTGCTCCAAGTCGATCTCTATATACGCGCTTGTAGCCACTTATGCATCTATTGGTTCATGCTCTACTGCTGCTGCTACCACCTTTGCCTCTGCTAACTCTGCCTCCTCAGCTGCCAAGGCTGCCTTATCCTCTAAGCTCCGAATAAGAACATTGTAGCTCATGTCCTAATCCTTCTTGCCATAGCAACAAGTGCCAGACTCAGTATGTTTTGCCAGATGGAAAGGGTAGTGCAGATCTCTGAGGATCTGAGTAATCAGATGAGCAAATGGAAGGAAGGCGGTGAGCTCGGGGCTTGGCCTTGCTGATGTAGCTAGAATAAAGTCTCATCATGACACTCCAATAGAGTGTAGGAACAAAAAACCAATGGCCCGTGTAGAAGGCGTAAAGGGCAGCCAGAAAATCTAAACGCCGCTTGATCTTATGGCCTGCCATAAATACATTTCGGTATAGTACCGAATCAAAGAACCATAGATCATCGGGCAAATAAGTCTTAGTGGCGAATATCTCGCCATCATGGTAATGGCCAGTTAAGGCGACAGCCATATCTGCGTCAGAAGGCCTCCTCAGAATAGGATACTGAAGATCAGGAGGGCAGATGTGTGGGCACCGAGAAGATATGGCCAATATCTCCACTGTAATGTGGATGAGATGGCCATCTATAGTTGTCTGCAACTTAGATAGGTTACTCAGGGCCGGCCGGAGGTTCTGGTAGAACAACTGGACGAGCCTCGGGTAAACCGGGTAGGCAACTGGGGTAAGAATGGCTGAAATGTTGTGCCACTCTATCTCATCGAAGGCTGCCCTAGTAAGAACTGACCGGGAAAAGAAGGAAGTGTCAAAGACAGACTCATACACCACTATAAGGCATTAATATCTCCTAATAAGTCTGTCTCCGACCTAGCCGGGTTGTGCCGATGGTGGTGAAGGAGGTGGAATATGCTCAGTCTCATCCGCCGATGGAGAAAATGAAGAGGCAGAGCGCTCGGACTGAGCTGGAGTTGGCTCCTCATGCTCCTCAGGCTCCTCTACTCGCTGTCTCACTTGGCGCTGATACTGCCAATTGGCAACAGTCTTGACTCAAGCCATGGCCTGCAAAAAGAAAAGAAACATTTGCAATTATAGTCAGTAACAGGTATAAAATATAGAATTGAAGCACAAGAAATAAAAACATACATGTCAAGTTCAGATAGACAACTCAGAATAAATCACATGAATCTATGCAAGTGATAATGCAGCTAGGTATAGACAGTGACTAAGTGAAACATGCTAAACATAATAAGTATAGAATGCATCTAATGTGAAAAACACAGGCATTGGGCATTAATGAGATTGCATGAAACATGAAAAAGGGTAGATGAAGGGTGCATGTAAAGTATTGAGGTTCGATCGATCATGAAAAGATTGGATCGATCCAGGTTGGATCGATCAGGATTTGGTTAAGATTGATCGAGCTTCGATTGATTAGAAAAAGAGTGTGATCGATCAAACTTTGTAAAAAAAAAATGAACAAAGTAACGACCCAGTCATTTACCTCCCTTTCTATTTTCTTGAAATTTTACGGATAAATTTTTTCCATTTAATTTTCCTTTTAGAACTCTGTTTCTTGTCGCTTAGTGTCGTCTCGAGTGCTCGGAATTGGTTTCTAAGACTCTTTTATGCGAATTGACAACTTCCTTTGAGGACCGAATCATTTTCGCATTTTCACTTTTTGGACACTATACGCCTTTTGTCCTTTTCCCTATTTTGTCTTTTCGCCGTTTGCCATTTTTTGGCACAACCTCACTTTTCGTGCTCGGAGTTGGTTTTTAACTTCACGTGTCTTCATCTTCAGCGATTTCCTTGAAATACGTATCTTTACTTTTGCAAAAAAGTACTCTGGTTGCTCCCGTTGTCCATAGGGGCACGGACGCACAATTCTTTGGAATTATTTTCTTTTCTTGGGGTGTTTTTCATAAATATCTTTTGAAGATATTTTATTTCAGGGGTATCTAAGAAAATATCATTTGGAAGATATTCTCATTCTGAGGCAGTTTCGCAGTTAACCCTTTTTGTAGGGGTCATTGTGTAATTAACGAAGTTATCACAAAATATCTCATCTGGAGCCTGGATCCTCATACGGGATTCATTTTCACTTTTTGTTGACTCATAAATTTATAGAATTTCCTTCTGGTTGTTTTTCTCTAGTTTCAGAGTTTTTGGACTCGGTTGCCGCTGAACTTGTTCGGGGCATAACTTTCTGCTCGGGACTCAATTTTTTACGCCGGTTCTTTTGTTGTTCATATTTACTCATTTTGAATCTTTTTCATTCACGGAGTTTTCCCGTTTGAGCGTGTTTACTCAAAATTCACTTTTTCAGACTCGACGGGGCCCTTTCGGGGCAGTTTTTGAGACTTACAATAAATAGGATGCCCTAAAGTGAAAAATCAGATTTTCACTCATCTTCTCCACCTCTTGGCCAGCAGTGATGGGAGCTCCTTGGCTGCCACCCTTTCTCCTTCTCCTCCACTTGATTTCCTTGGTAGAAATCCTTCGGCCTTTACATTTATTGTTCCCCTCGACGTGTTCTATCATTCCCCCTTATTAGAAATCATTTCTGACCATTTCTTGAGTTTGGGGTTGAGGTCAAGTTGTCATTTTCATGGGGCTTCCTTCGGATTCATGTAGATTGTGTTGTCCTCGTCAAAACCCTTCGATTTCGGCGGATTCGGAACACTTTTTTTTCGGTGGGAATTTGGGGTTTTCATCTCAAATTGAGGTAGGGGTGTTTTAGGTTATATTCTTGCTATCTTGCATGCTATTAATGTTTGTACAACTCATATGCTCACTTTTGGTTCAAGATTTAGAAATTGATTTAAATGTGATTTAAATTCTACTTAATTGTACCATGCTTGTTTTCCAATTTTGACTTCATATATGGCACGGCCATGACTTAGTCCTTGTTATATATTAATTTGGGATCATTTGAATAACATTTGAAATCTAGAGATTTAATTAATTTTAAATTAAATATATTATACATGATGATATATTGCTCACTTTGTGAAATTGATGTGATATTTGCAATCAACATGAAATGGAGATTCACATATATTATTTTGAGAATTTTTGGACAACTTTGATTTCTAGAGAAATTAATTAATTAGCTTAATTTATTTCTACTTAGTATTCTAATGAATTAGACTTGTATTTCATGGGGTTTTGCCTAATTATCATGTTTCATGACTTGTTGCAACTTAGCTCCATTAATATGGTTAATGAACTTGCACCTTTACATTGGAATGATTTAATTGTTCAAGAGTTGTTAAACCAATAATTAAATCATTAATTTCATGCTTGAGCTATATTCACATCAATGGATTCCTTGTGTTTTAAATCCCAGTTTGTAGTTTCTATAAATTCACTTAATGATTTCTTGACATTTCACATGCCATCATAGTTGAGAATCTAGGGCATGACTTGTATGTTCTAAAATCTTGGTTGTGCACTTTAATGCATTTCTTATATTTTGATACAATCTTAACTTGCACAACTTGTTGATTTCAGAACTTGGGATATCAATCAAGAATTGACATGGCTAGGACTCGGTTCTAGTACAGGGAAATGTCCCTCTACTTAATTGTATCAAAAAGTGGAAGATTAATATTCACTTGCCTAAACACTTCAATTATTTCATTCACTTTGGTCTTTTGTTTTTCAAGAGAAATGGACCTTTTTAAGGCGTCCGAAAATGGAGCCTTTAGCTCAAAAGCTTTTTCAAAATCTTTCTTTGAATCACTTTCATCATAAGAAGTTTTCAAGTCATTGTTCAAATCATTTTTCACAACTTTCTCAACAAGATGATCATGCACATGCAATGAAGGAGGAATAGAATGTGAAACGGGACGGATGTTAACTTTTGATTGCACCAGTTCACTCTCTTCATTGGAAACACCAATTCGATTATTAACAATTTTTCCACTTCTCAAGGTTGTCACCACATTAACATACTCAATTGTGTGACCTTCATTGGATTCCACAACAAATTATTGCTGTGGTAAGGCGTTTAGAGGCATTTTCCCTTTCTCTCTAACATTTAAAGTACTAGCTATCTATAATGTTCCATTTTTGCTCTTTTTCTCTCTAACTTAACGATTTAGGGTTTTTGGGTTCTTGAGGTCTACTTCTCACTTCCGACAAGGCCGCCAGCGGCGAGCACTGGTGGGTTGAAGCCATGGGGGAGGGTTCTTCCTCCTCTATACCGCCAATGGGGGCTGGTTTACCCCATGCATCAGTTTCTCAAAGTCAGCACAATATTCAATAGAAACCGTCATGGCGAAGTTTCTTTGATATTGAATCACAAAAGAAGATGGAGATGCTTCCATATTTACCTGAGTGCAGGGGTGCAAAGGTGATCAAGATTATGGAAGATGATGTGATAGAGGAACTTGAATACTGGAAAAACTCGTTGGTAGGTTACTTGGTGGGGAAGCGCCCTTTCTTTCCACATTTTAATGATTTCCTTAAGAGGATTTGGAAAACTGCAGGCAGTTTTAAATTCATTTCCCTTCCAAAAGGGTTCTTTATGGTGCGGTTTGATAATGAGAATGCTGTACACTTTATTCTTCAGCGTATTCATACTTATCAGGGCCGTCCTATGATTCTGAAATGATGGGATAAGAATGTTAATCTTGAGAAAGAAGTTCTTGGCTCAGTTCCTATATGGGTACATTTGTTTAATCTCCCTATGCATTGTAGAGGTAAAATGTCCATTGCTAGGGTTTGCTCTCAATTTTCCAAACCATTGTATCCTGATGAGGCTACTTTAGCCCGTGAACATGGAGGTTTTGTTTAGGTTATGGTGGAGGTTGATGTGCATGACGATCTTGCAGAGGCTGTTCATATTGATATACATGATACTGAATGCGACGTCTTCATTGAGTATGATTGGAAACCTCAGTTATGTAGGAAGTGTAATGGTTTCAACCATTCAGAGTCCAATTGCACTACACAAATCCCTAAGAAGAAACCTATCACTGAATGTATTGTCAAGCAAAAGGGAAAATTGGTTCAGTTGGAAGAAGATATAAGAGGGGGGGGGGGGGGGAGGGGTTTATTTCTAAGGCTGAAAAGAACACTTCTATTATTCAAAAGGTGAAATCAACATCTATGATGCATATTCCCTTGGAGGAGAAGACAACGGCGAATTCAGAGGGAAATACTGGAAAGGATGTGGATTCTATTCTAGTAAGAGTGAATGCTCCTTTAACTGAGGGGACTCCTATAGAGTCTATTGCAAATACTGAGAGGGCTTTGATCCCTTATCGAGTTGAGAATGGTCTGGGTAATAAAAGCGAAGATGTTGAGAATACTGTTGGTGATGTTATAGTAGTGGCTACCCCTTTAGTCACTCTACCTGTGTCTCCTATTCCTTTGGGAATGCCTGGTTTCATATCTGATTCCCCTGTGGCCTCTACTGGAGATAAAATTGTTCCAGTTGAAAGATCTCCTACTCCTACCTTAACTAAAAGTCAAAGGAAAAGGTAAAGAAAAAAGGCTACTGAAATTGAAACTTGTTCTATAATTACTAGAGGTATGGTTACTGGTGGTGTGGTTCCACCATCCTTGACTCTTTGATGATTGGTTTGTGGAATGTGAGGGGGCTCAACAGGAAAGGAATGCAACAAGAAATTCTCTCTTGGGTCTTTGGTCTGCCTTGTGGAGACCAGAGTACAGAATCATAAATTTGTTAGAATCAGTAGTCGTTTAAGGGCTGATTGGCTTTGGTGTCATAACTATAATGCAGTGTATAGAGGTAGGATTTGGTGTGGGTGGAATCCACTCATGTTTGATGTGCAAATTTTGGAAGTTAAAGCTCAAGTTATCCTTCTCAAACTACGGATTAGAAGTAATGGTGTTCAATTTTAGTTAAGTTGTGTCTATGGGGAAAATATAGTGGACGAAATGAGGGATCTGTGGAATTGTTTATCTGATATGGCAAATGTGGTTTCTAGTCCTTAGCTGCTCATTGGTGATTGGAATGTTATTCGGAGAAATGGGGAAAAGCTTGGGGCTAAGTCTGTTCCTTGGAGAGTTCTTAGATAATTCAATGATGTTATTGATTCTTTAACTCTTAGTGATATTCCTTTCTCTAATGGCATTTACACTTGGTGTAAAAATAGGCAAATTACCAAACGAATTCATTCTAAACTGGATAGAGGCTTGATGAATGAAGCTTGGTCTAATTCTTTCCCTACATCAAGAATTGATCTCACCTCTTCTCTTCCTTCGGATCATTGGGGTTTATGTGTCAGGATTCCTATCAATGTAGCTGCTGGTCCTAAACCTTTTCAGTTTTTAAGGGTGTGGCATTCGCAACCTGTTTTGAAACAAGTGATTAAAGAGGCTTGGTCAACAAGGGTTAATGGTGATCCTATTGTTAAGGTTGTCCAAAAGCTAAGGGTAGTTAAAAAAGCTGTCAGAGTTTGGAATACAACCAAATTTGGTTCAGTATATGAGCATCTTATCTCAGCTAAAACTAAACTGGAGGAATGTCAAGTTGCATTATCCAATGATCCAATGTATGCAGAGAGAATCCATAGTGAAGAAGAGGCTAGGAGGAATTATGAACATGCTTTGTCTAATGAAGAGATCTTGGTTTCTCAAAAGGCTCGAATAAAATGGAAAAAGGACCTTGATAGAAGCTTAAAATTTTTTTAGCAGAAAATCAAGGCTCATAGATGTAACAATAATATTACAGGTCTTACACAAGCAGATGGAACATTAGTGCAGGATGATAATGGTATTAAAAATCTATTGTTACAACATTACACTTCTTTGTTCTCTTCTAGAGGGCACGTTAATTCTCCTGATGCTACCTTCATTAGAAGAACTCTTCTTGGGGAAGTTGCTGATAGCTTGGAAGCTAATATTTCTAGGGATGAAATAAAAGCGTCAATTCACAGTATGGGATTGGATACAGCCCTGGGGCCTGATGGTTTTACTGTGAGGTTTTTTAGGGAGTATTGGGGCATTATTGGTGAAGATATTAATTCTACTGTGTTGCATTTTTTTCAATGTTCAGTTATGGATAAAGGGCTTAATAGCACCTTCATTACTCTTATTCCTAAGATGAAGGTAGCAAACAAGATTGGAGATTTTAGGCCTATTGCTCTTTGCAATGTCATCTATAAAATCATTACCAAATTGTTGGATAATAGATTGAGTGTTGTTCTTGATCAAATTGTGGGTAAGGATCAAAATGCTTTTGTCAGTGGTAGGAAAATTCAGGATAATCTCATCATTGCTTCTGAATTATTGAGAGGCTTTGGAGCTAAGCATGCTCCTCCTACTTTAGCTTGGAAGGTGGATCTTCGAAAGGCTTATGACTCAGTTCAATGGGAGTTTCCGTTTAGTCTTTTACAGCTCTATGGCTTCAGAAATAAATGGATTGGTTGGGTTAAAGCAGCAGTGACAACTGTTCAATTTTCTATCATGGTGAATGGAAGTCCACATGGTTTCTTTCAACCTTCAAGAGGCCTTAGACAAGGTTGTCCACTTTCCCCTTTGCTCTTCACTTTGGTCATTGAATATTTGTCTTCCATGTTTGAATTTGAGTGTCTAAAGGAGCACTTAGTTGCTTCTCCTACTGCTATCAAGGTAAATTGTTTGGCCACTCACCAATTTTTTGCTGATGACTTACTTATGGTTGTGAGAGCTAACATCACTTTGCAAAGGATGATGAAACATTTTGAAGAAGTCTCTAGCTTGGCAGTTAATAAAGAAAAATCAGAAGTATATTCTACAAGGTCTGTTGCAGGCAGGGGTCTTCCCTTTTACTTCTTTAGGCCTTCCTATTTCTGACAGAGGAATTAGGAGGTTGGATTGTAAACCTTTAATCGATAAGGTTGTTGCTGCAACTATAAGATGGGCTAGTATGAACCTTTCAATGGCAGGTCGCATTGAGTTATTAAGGGCTGTGGTTACTCCTATGCTTTTATATTGGTCATTAGTTTATAGTATTCATGCTGCTGTCATTAACTTAATTGAAAGAAGAATGAGAAATTTTGCTTGGGGACATAATGAGATTAACTTAAAGCTGCATAGCATATGTTGGAAAAAGTCACTTCTCCAAAAACAGAAGGAGGTTTTGGTTTAAGTCAAATTGGTGACATTGATAAAGTTGCAAAGTGTTCTTTAGCCTGGGACTTCCTTCTTTCGAAGGATAGGTTGTGGGTAGCATGGTTCAACAAACGCTATTTAACTAATGCTTCCTACTGGTCTGTTATTCTAAAGGTTAATCATTCATCCATTTAGAAGAGCATTGTATCAGTCAGAGATACTCTTAAGGTGCAATGTTCTTATCGCATTGGCAATGGTGCGAAGATTAAAAATTTTATGGATCCATGGTGTGGGGGCCAATTTTTATCAGAGGTTTTCAGTTATAGAACCTTCAGACAGGTATCCTCTAATAAGCTGATTGACTTGAAAAGTTTCATCGTTCAAAATCAATGGCAGTTCGATGATGTTCCATTTGTTGTTCAACAATTTTTCCAACAATTCAGGATTCATGGTGGTGAGGACCAGTTATTGTGGAACAATAAATCTTTTAAATTCAAAGCTGCTTGGGACTCTTGTAGGGATTCAAAACCTGAAGCTTCTTGGTTTGGTTTGGTTTGGAATGGGGGTAGACCTCGATGGTCTGTGTATAGTGCTTTGATTATTCAAAATGCTGTCCTAATATGTGCTAATTTGCAGCATAGAGGAATCTCTTTAGCTTCTAGATGTGGCTTGTGTGGCTGCAATGAAGAACATGTTGATCACATGTTTGTGAAATGTGTGTATGCTTGGGAGGTCTGGTGTGGCTTGGCTTGTAACGACCCGGTCATTTGCCTTCTTTTCATTTTTCCTGAAATTTTACAAATAAATTTTTTTCATTTAATTTTTCTTTCTAAGCTCTGTTTCGTGTTGCTTAGTGTCATCTCGAGTGCTCGGAATTGGTTTCTGAGACTCTTCATGTGAATTGACAACTTCCTTTGAGGACCGAGTCATTTTCGCATTTTTCATTTTTGGACACTATGCGTTATTTTGTCTTTTCCCTATTCTGTCATTTTCCCTATTTCCTCTTATCTCCGCTTGTCAATTTTTGCCACAACCTCACTTTTCGTGCTCGGAGTTGGTTTTTGACTTCCATCTTGAGTAGTTTCCTCAAAATACGTATCTTTACTTTTGCAAGAAAGTACTCTAGTTGCTCCTAGTGCCCGCAGGGGCATGGATGCACAATTCTTCATAATCTTTTTCATTTCTTGGGGTGTTTTTCATAAATATCTTTTGAAGATATTTTATTTCAGGGGCATCTAAGAAAATTTTCACAACTTGTTGATTTTGGAAATTTGGGGATGTAGTTGTTTGGCTATGGCTAGGACGTGGTTCTAGTACGGGGGATAGTCCCTCTATATAGTCTAGTGCGCACATAGGGAGGTTACCCATAGGCTAGTAACCCTAAAGTAACTATGTTGTCGGTCTGATCCAGCGTGACGTCCGAGTATTAACTTTGTTTGATTCGCATTTCATTTTCAAGTTAATAACTAGATGATGTTGTAACTTGTTGTTTCTTATTTGTCATTCCATTTTAAGTTACATGATGTTAACTTTGCGAAATTGTGCTTTATACGTTGTATTGGAAGTTCCAATGTTGGTTAAATTGCATCGATATTGAAAATTGTGTTTTGACGTTCTAACAAAACTTAGGATTGATCCTATTGATTCATTTATAACTTAGACGTTATGTGGTATGACCCACTTCTGTTGTTTTCGTGCTTTAGATTTCAAGCTGATAGCTTTAAGAAATTGTATTTTGTTGCCTTGTATAATATGCTTTTATGTGGTTAGACTGCATTGAAGTTATAAATTGCGTTTTGATTGTTCAGCATGGCCTAGGATGATTCCTTAGACTTATTTAGAACATAGACGTTAGGTGACATGATCACTTTAGTTGTTTCTGTATTCGAGATTGCAAGTTAATACCTTTAAGAACCTATATCTCGTTGCTTTGTATAATGTGCTTTCATATTGTTTAAATGGCATAGACGATGTGATTTATGCTAGAAACACTCTAAGGTAGCTTAGGATGCTCCCTAAGTCTCATTTCGATATAGACGTTAGGTGGCATGAACCCCTTTAACATGTTTCACCTTAAGGTGATAAATTTGTAAAATGCTAGGTCGATGCATGCTCATCTCCTACGAGTAGCTTTATGTTACTCACCCCTACGATACTGGGGCATATTTTAGGTACGAAGACTTGGTTCATGACGCCTAGCATTCCTTGGATGTCGTGTAGCTTTTAAGTTTCCATTTCATGCAAATGTTAGCATGAAATGTCATTTTGTAGACTTATATGTCAAAATATGTATATTTGATTCCATGTATGTAATGTGTACTTAAGTGCACTCCGTTCAATGTATTTGATATCTATGAGATGAGGCCGGAGGCCAATGACCATTATATTGTATCCTATGTATCTTTTGATTTCTTAAAAAGCTATGAAAACCTTGAAAAATTACAAGTCACTAGTTCACCATGGTTGCATCGGGTGTGGGAATTCTATTTTCATTCTTTCATAGGGTCTTATAAATCATGTTTGAAGTGTGGCCAAGGGCCAAACGGTCATTTGATCCTGTTTTGTATTTTTGGATTCCGAGTTTTCATTCCAAGTTCTATTTTTGCCTTTTTGCCCGTTGGGGGGTCAGATTTTGCATCGGCTATATTTTTAAGTCGTGGACCATTGTAGCACATCTTAATAGGTAAGATACGTTTGTGTGCATAGTCATTTCCGGGCAAAACCTTGTCGTTTGTGTTTTGAGCCTCTTGTGAATTCATTTCGCATTTTTTTTGCATATTCTGATCTAGGGGCATTATAGACTTTTCACTGTGGTTTTATTTTCTTCTTTCAGCATGGTTGAATAGAAAACATGATTTTATAGGGAGTTTCTTTTCCGTGTTTTTCCAGAAAATGTCGTCTTGATATCGGAAATCGCTTACGAAGTTTAGCTCTCAGTTTTTCAAAATAGCAGCTTTTTGGACCTTCATGACCAGATTTCATGGAGGGGCATTTCGGGTATTCTACATTGCATTTTTTTTTTTAATTCTCTCGCGAGTCACATAGAAAAGGGGGGTTTCTTCTCTGTGTTTTTGCAAAAAAATCATCTAGGCCTCCAAATTCAGCCTCTGTTCTGGATTTTTTTGAAAAATAACCCCACAGCAGCTTTATGGGCTGCTGCTGCCAGCCATGGTGCACTCAACCCGCGCGCGGCGTGCATGGGCACACGCATGGGCGTGCGCATGGGGCTGTCATGGCCCCTCGTCGGGCCGCCGCGACATCAATTCTTCTTTTGGGCTTTTCTCCTTCGTCCAGACTCCGATTCAAGTGAATTTTTTTTTTAACTTGACTAATTTTTCGCTGTCTTTCCAACGGTGTGCTTGGTTGCACCCGGTTCTTCCTGAATAATTACCATTTTAGCTTTTTGCCTTAAGTGCTCGTTTTTCTTCGTCATGCCGTTTCTCCTTCGTCCGGACTCCGAATCATGCGATTCTTGAGTCCATCTTGATTAGTTTTTTTTTGTCCTTCCAGCGGTATGCTCGGTGGCACCCGAATCTACAATTTTAAAAAATGACTATTTTGCCTCTGGGGGCTTATTTGTTATATTTTTGATCTTTTGGTTCCGCATCAGTTCTCATGGAGTTCCACGACCTCATGGAAGGTCACTTTGAGTTCTTAGAGTCTTGTTTTCTGTTTTCTCTTCCGCATTTCAGATCCGTTATCGGAACATCCTTACGATTCATCAGAGGACACGCTGTCCCAAAAACCAGGGTCGTCACATGGCTGGTATATTTCATTGGAGTGTTCAAAAGTTGCACGCTGTTAGCTCATTTGCTGCTGACCTGCAAACTCAATTTTATATTAAATCTTGCAGGAACAAAGTGCATAAGATGTTGTTTACAACTGCTATGTATTATTTATGGAATGAACGGAATGGTAGACTTCATTCTGATGTTATTAGGTCTCCTTTATTCCTAGTCAAATACATTATTTGGGATGCTCTTGATATTGCTGGAATTAGTCTTCAAGAATTTTTAAGTTTATAGGAGTTTAAGGTTGTTACAGGTTTTGTCTGCTCTACCCTAGATGTTCTTGAAGAAATGTCTTCACTTTATTCTTGTACTATATTGTTTTATCTTATAAAATTTTTTCTTCATTTAGGTAAAAAAAAAAAAAAGTACTAGCTATCTGCCCAACTTGGGTTTCTAGCTTAGCAATGGATTGAGAATAGGAATGAAGTAATTGAGTGTTTGCCTCTAGAGTACCCAAAGAGGTCAACATTTTCTCCTCAAAAGCGGGACTCCTAGAATTTCCTTGAGAGTAAGACGATTGATTAGGGAAATGATATTTTGAAAATTGGTTTCCATGTGATGATTGAAAAGAAGATCTATAACCTTGGGAACCTTGGATTTGCATTGGAGGTGGAACATACTTTCCTTGAAAACCACCTTGGGGAGGGTTTGAGCCTTCCCCTCGGCTTTTTCAAGAAAATTTTGGATGGTTCCTCCATCTGGCATTATAGTGTGTGACATAGGGATTATTCCCTTGGTTGACAAATGTGGCATTAACTTGTTCATGGTGCTCATTTTGCACATGTCCATGTGGACAATTGGAAGTAGAATGTAAGACACTAGAACAAATCATGCATGTTTCATTAGGTGGATGATGAACATGATTAAGGGAGGAAGACACTTGGTTCACCGAATTGAGGTTGACCAAAAATTGATCAAACCTTTGAGTTAAGGATTTCACCTCGATGGCTATGTCATTGGAATTGTCAACTTAATATAAGCCGACATTCTTCCTTCCACCTAGAATTCTACCATTTTTTGAGGGTAAAGATCGATGCATGCAATTTTCACTCATACTTTCATACAATTGCCAAATATCATCTTCATGTTTATCAAGATAAGAACCACCTATAGATGCATCTACCATTCCTTTTTTATTATCCAGCAAACTTTCAAAGAAGTATTGGACTAATTGCCACTTAGGAATGTCATGATGTGGACACTTCCTAAGCAAATCATTAAATCTTTACTATGCCTCATGAAACAATTCCCCATCCCCTCGAGAAAATTCACGAATGGAAGTTCTCATAGCATTGGTCTTTGATACCGGGTAGTACTTCTTCAAGAACTCTTGTTGCATATCTACCCAAGAAGTTATCGAAAAAGGCCTAAGATTGTTGGACCAATATTTTTCTTTATCTTTAAGGGTAAAAGGAAAAATTTTGAGTCTCAAAACCTCTTTTGGCATGTCCGTGTATTTCACGGTGGAGCATACTTCAAGAAACTCATCAAAATGCTTATACAGTTCTTCACTTGGAAGTCCATGATAGTTAGGAAGCATTTGAATAGTTTGCGGTTTAATCTCATAGTGATGTGCTCTAAATGGGGGCAATTGAATGCAAGTGGATGCATTATATTTATTTGGCACATAATGATCACGTAAAGCAATGGGAAGATTCCCAACCGGTGGTGTTACACGAACACCTTGATGGCCTTGCATAATGGGAGGTTGTGGAGCAAAAATTGGCCGAGGCATTCCCAATGGAATTTGGCCTTGTTGTTGTGGTGGAATGAATGGTCTTGGCATGCCTAATGGGACTTGAATGTTTTCATGATGCACATTAGGGTGGAGGATGCCTTGTTGGTCTATGTGACCAAGGTCCTCCACATGGTCGTCATTTTATCCCTTCATTGATGAAATGGATTGATGAGAACTACCTCTTCCCCTAAGATTACAAACAACTGATCAAGATAGAAATCAAGTGGTAGAAGAGTAGGATTTAATGATTTACGGCCATGGATGCACTAATAAAACAAATAACAAGTAATCAATCAAATAGCAATCAGTTCGCCCCCACAACAAATTAATCAACAAACATTCTCCTCATACATTGATCCCATACTCCCATACTTTGAACAATATGCAAAGAAAAGTAAATTGCCTCCACGCGGGCTCACAGTCTATTTAAAAATTTAAGAACTTGCCACCACGCGGGCTAACGATTTAACTAGAGATTGAATTAGAAAAAGCTCACAAAGGGTCCTTAAGCAACTTCAATTTAGTTTTCAAGTTTTGCTATGCCTTGTAATTTTTTAGAATTTTGCCCTTTTTTATGCTAGCTTAGCTCCTTGATTTTCCAATTCTCCTTTGCTTCACTTCCTTTCTCAATACATCTAGCCAATCAAGAACAAATACAATAAGTAATCAAAATAAAATAAAGTAAAGACACGATCAAAAGAGTACTAATTCCTAATTGTTTCCAAAACACGGCGTAACCAATTCAATCCCCGGTAACGGCGTCAAAACTTGGTGTGGCCCTAGTCGTGTCGACCAACAAGTTGAAATGTGCTATAGAGTGACCAAGTTTGAATTTATTAAGTACTACTACTACCTCTAACTACTAATATAGCTAGGGTGAGTAGGGATCATCCCAAGGATTGGGGGTAATGTTAATATAGAAACAAGGTCGGACTAGTAGGTCGAGCGATCAAAGGTGGTTTGATTGGTTAATTAAACTACAATGTAAATAAATTCAAAGCAATTAAAGTAAGTAAAGGGTAGAGAACAAGAGAGAGGGAACTTGGGATTTAGAGGCCACCACTAAACATCACCTTTCTAGATACTTAATGTGTAATGAATGAAGGGAAATATATGTTGCAACACCAATATGTGTGATTGATTGAATCAACAAGCATGGATGACTAATTAAGCATACATTGTCTAAACAACCTAATGAATAGCATAATATATCAAACTAAGCCATTATTCCTTCCTTTAAGCTTACAATCAAACACTTTAACAAGCTAGAGAATTATACTACTTGCATTCAGAAGTATGGAACATCAAACAACAAGCATGGATTGTCCTCCTATCTAAGAAAATAAGGCAACTGCACTACAACTAAACTAAGGACATGCAAATTAAACTAATTAAACTAAGGTAAAGGCACAATCCATCAAGAAATGAGTATGAACCATCAAATAAGCTACAAGAGTATTCCATTAAAGCACCATGCCTTGACAATCTCTAGATTCATAGTATCAGCACACATAGACAAGCATCAATATCACAAAACCTAGAGATAAATACATGAACACCTATTCTAGCATACACAGACATATGAATAGAATGAAATGATCAATTGGAAGCATTAAACAACACAAATCATTATAGAAACAAGATTCATATATAAATCAAATGTCAAGGCAAGAATTACAACATAAATCCACTCAAAATACAAAACATCAAGATCTAGAAGGCATGTTTAGGGCTAACTCTAGCCCCAAGAAGATGTTTAGCCACTCATTGATGTAGTCATCTAACCCTCAAGGGCCATCTCCATCGTAGGGTTGATCTTCTTCTCCTTGATGGAAACCCTAGATGAATGGAAGAACTCCCAATGGTGTGTGTATCTCTCTAATCTCTAAGCTCTCTCCTCTATTCTATTGTTGCATGATAATATCTATGGTGAAAATGGCTCAAAATCCTTATATAGGTAGCTCTAATGTCACACCCAATGGTCAGGTCTGGTGCACTAGAGCCACTTCAATGATTGCACCACGAGCCATCTTTTAATGAGCTGGACTCTATTTTTTTTTTAACCTAACGAGATTCGATCGATTGAATTCTGATGAGATCAATCGAAGAATGTTCAAATCGATCAAACTGTGGCTGGATCGATCAAACCTTGGCGGCTCCTTTTTAGAATAAGACAAGTCTAAGATATTTTTGGGATATTTTGGGAAAAAGACAAAAGTGGTAGGTGGGAATAAGATCAAAAAAGTTCGATCAATCGAAAGGAAAGTTGGATCAATCGAAGATGGAAATTCTTGAAGTTAAGGATAAGGGGTTTGATCCATCTTGGTGAGGCTGGATTAATCACTGTAAGATCGATCGAAGATTGGTCTAATCGATCGAAATTTGCTGTTTTCCACCACTTTGCTTCTTTCTTCCATTCAGCTTGAGATTGCTTCTTTTATGCTCTAATTTGGCCGAATTGACTTATTTTGGGGATAAACACCTGAAAAGGGCAATAACATGAAATTAGTCTAAAACGGGAAAATAAGATAGATAAAGGTCTTAGAATTCTCAAGCTTAAGGGGTTTAAATGCGCACTTTTCAGTGCTCATCTACGTCTAGAAGCATGAAGTGGCGTCCGAACGGGAAGGTCCCAGGGAATAGCGTCCAAACGCAAGTGAAGCAAGTGTTGGCGTCCGGACACTAGAAGTGGAGTCCGAACGTGAGTTTGCCCAGAGATTGGCGTCTGGACGCGGAAAATGACGTCCAGACACAATTATGCCCAGGTCTTGTTATGGATATGAGCTTGAAAATTCCCAAAAATGTTACCAAAACCATAATATGACTATAGAAACCCATGGTGACCACTGGAATGGAAATCTAGATAATTCTTGAAGAATGCAAAGTGGAGTTTCTACTTAGTCATTTTCAGAGATTTTTGGTTTAAAGTAACAAAGAAATAAGGAAGCGTGGTATAGGAAGAATTACTTCCTTGGAGTGCTAAATTTAACATCGATAGCTAGACGATATGGGAATCTAAGTAGTCCTCATAAATTAGATCTGTCAAGATGATGGAATCCACATATCCGACCGGGACTAGGTTGTCAATGTAGGGCTTAAGCCGCTGGCCATTGACCTTAAACCGATTCCCATTCTTTGGATCTTGCAACTACACCATGGGGGAAGATAGAAATGATAAGGAAAGGACCTTCCCACTGTGAACGAAGTTTCCCAAGAAAGTGTTAGTCCTAAGTTATCTTAAGGAATGTTTGCCTTTTAAAATCACCATTATACACTTGTTTACTGTATTGATAAAAAAGAACCTTTACAATGGGCACTGTATTTTCTCCGATCTATGTTCTCCCCACCGACGGTCATCCATATATCATAGCATAGATTTGCTATCAGTTGTTGAGATTCGCCGGCAATCTGTTGCTTCGCAGAATTTGCGGTAACAAAAAACATATATAAAAAATAAAAAATAAAATTTGTTATCGTTCTCACTGTCACATCTCTC